AGAGAGAGAGAGAGAGAGAGAGAGAGAGAGAGAGAGAGAGAGAGAGAGAAGAGAAAGGGAGAGGGTAATGGTCCTCACGGGGCGAGAATGACAGGTCACCGAGGTCGAGCGGCCTAGACTCGGGTTTTCCACACAGGTATGTACGAGAGTGAGGGGCGGCCGAACAAGAAGAAGAACAACAACAAAACGCTGCTTGTTTCCCCACACTACAGAACCGCCTCGCTTTCCCCGCGCACCCACAACACACATGACCCCCTCCCTTGTATCGTTCGTTTTTTCTGCTGTAGGACCTACGATGAATGTGACCTCTCGCCCGAAACTCTCGGCACGCCTTTCGGGGACAAGAAGGGCACGGAGACGGCGACGCCCACAAGGGCCAAGGAAGGGTACGACAGGAGCCGGTTCCACGTGCACTTCGGTGCCGGGCGGCTGGGGCTGGGGCTGGTGGTAGGAGCGATCGCGGAGAGCAAGACGCCGTTCGGCATCGTGCAGCGACCGAAGGCGTCCTGGGGGGGCATCATCTCGAACGTGAGCTGCTGAAAATCTTTTATTTTTTTTCGGTGCTCTGACGGGTGTGCTGCAGAGCCCCGCGTTCCGGCGCTTGGCTTTCAGTTATTACCGGTTCTGGCGATGATGGCTGTGGGTGTGGGTGTGTTTTTTTTTGGTACGGAATCAATATATTTACAATAATTTTGCTTGCACGCTCGAAACTACGCAGTTCTGCGCCATAGTTACGTCCTTCAAACACGGTGGTTTGTCGCGTGCTGCAACTCGAACACAGTCACCGAAGCTAGGGCGACCGCTTCTTCTGGTAGAATACGGGTCCCCTCCACATCTCAACGCCAGACGTAGGTTCAGGCAGCACCGCGATTGTTACCCCACTTGCACGATACATAAGTGCACTGCGCGCGCACGGACTTGAACAACAACAGGGGTGCGGGTCACAGATAGAGATCACGGTCAATGGTAAGCCGGTGGTGGAGGACGTAACTGTCATCAGCGAGGGCTGTGACGTGGAAGAGTACCTCAAGGTCGGCGTTGCGGCCATCGTCGTGGTCGGTGACCGCCCTACGCTGCTTCAGCTCGTTAAGAAGGTGGGTGGGGGTAACCGTTTTTGCGAGGGGGCTGGCCGGCGCTCAGCCATCGCGACGAGGGCGGCGGGGGAAAGATGGAAGATGCACGGATTTTTACGCGGTGTCTTGTGGGATGGGATGGTGGACCACCCACCCAACCCCTACCGATCCCAGGAAGCGAGTTAAGTAGATACGCGCAAGTTTTGTCGCGTGTGTGTACGGTAATGGTCATCCTGTTTATTGTGAAGCTGACCTTTACGCCCTGCATCGGTATTTCTTTGCATCGTAGATGTAAGACTCTATTCACCAATGTTGTGCTTCGCTGGGCCCTTCGAGTCAGAACCACATCAGCCAGGTGTGTCGGCCCTGGAAAAGTCACATCTGGTAGCTGGCAGCTAGCCGTGGCCCTGTCCTGCCTGTTTGTAGTTATCAATATTTCACATGCTGGACGCAAAATCCGCTGTCTTGGCATAACAGCAACGCATGGCAGCGTCTCCCCTACCAACAAGAACTGGTAACCCCTTGAATGAATGCATGCGACAGGCAACCAGCTTCAGCTGCTCGTTGGGTGCGGCGATGGGAATCGCGATGATCCCTCTCCTGGAGCAGCTTGAGGACAAGCCGCCGGCAGAACGCCCTGTGCTTTACGCCTGTGAGAATTATGGAGTATTGTTTTGATTGTTGTTGTTGGGGAGATTTTTTTTTGTGCGTTCCGTTGTTCCGCGATTGCCATGCGGTCCGAGAAAAAGTGGGCTTGGAATAATTTGATGTGCTCTGCGTTGCTTTTTTTATTGCTCTCCTCGACTTTTTTGAGGAAGTTGCAGGTGATGTATATCGCCATGGTACGTTGGGAGATATATATATTTTGTCTGTGCTGGCCTGGTTGTTTTGCAGGTAGACGTTGTTCTTGCCAACATTCTGATTTGGTGTACCCCTGTGGCGTCGTTCGCCTGTGACTACGGAGGACGTCCGTGTCCCGATGCCCCGAAACGGATGCTAGAAGACACTGGGCAGAGACCGGATTTTGTTTTGATGTGACGGCAAACACAAAACCAACAATTCGACAACCAGTCCGTAGACGTTTCCGCACACGCACGCCACTCTGTCGTGCCCGCATCAGTGAAATTTTGTTGGCGTTACGTCTGTTGCGTGATTCACCTCTATGGATTCGTTCCTGCGTGGCGATTGGTTCGTGAAATACTGGAAGACAAAACAAATGCCAACAACACGGCTACAACGACCACGGCGACTTCAACCACAAAAACGACAGGAAATAGCACCGCATCATCAAGGACTACCAACAGTATTCACATCCAGCGCATGCCCTTGAACAGCAGCAGCAGCAGCAACAACAACAACAGCAACTAAGAAAGACAACGGGTACAAGTCGACTACCCCCCCCTCCCGCATCCCCCGTCCCCGCAGGCGAAAACGACCACGACGCGGCGCGAAGAGTGGGAGAGATGGTAGCCTCGAAGGTCACCACCGTCCCCTGCATGGTGGACCGAATCTGCACCGGCAGACAAATNGGGGGGGGGGGGGGAGGAGGGGGGTGCACTCGAAAGTTGCAAGACCGCGCACTCGTCGTTTTTTTACAGCAGGAAGGGGGCAGCGGGGACTGTAGACGGAAGGGGGGCGTGGTGAGGGTGTGCACAAGAACTGAAAAGGGGCAGGGTAGGCAAAGACAGCCACGGAGGTTGTGGAGACAGAGCGATAGACAAGAGCAGGAGACGGAGATAGAAGTGGCATGGAAGATAGAGAGAAGGGGGG